GTTATTATAATATATAATTGTAGAATAAAATTCCACAACATTATTCAGATTATAAAAATTTCTACTCTTAACAAATCAATCTTTGCGAACACTTTTTCGAATCACTTTGCCTTTAAATATGATTATATATTATTACTTATATAGAATACATAATAAATAAAATTAGAATATGAGCTTATTGTTTGTTGTATTGTTAAATTATATAATATTATTTTAAAAAAATTTTTATCATGATAGATTATTCTTTATCAAATAGAAGTTGACAAAATTAAAAGTCATATCAATAAAAAAGTTGATTAAACTGTTAAATAAATAATTATATTTATAATCTTAGGATTTCTTACATATTTCGCTGTTGCTTCTTGCACTTATCTGATCGTTTATATTGTATTCATCATAATTAAACGCATGCAGAAATTTATATCCATATCAAATGATATCTTCGATATTGATAGATAAATTATATTGTTAAATGCAAGAAATCATTAGTTTCTATATCTTTAAAAAAATAAATGTTTGTTAGTCAATATTGATTTACAAAACATATATAAACTTATAACATATAACAATGAATTTTACAGACATACATTATTATAAAAAAAGAATGTAAAATTTAATCAAAAAAGATCTGAATCACTTGCATCTAACAATATAATTACAAAAAAATAATTTTGTATGATATATTATTTTATGATTATTCCAACAAATTATTTATATATTTATATGTTTTTATTTCAATAATTCAGTACATCGTAACATTTAATTATATATTTTTTTAAATTTGTTAAAAAAATTTTATATTCCTATCATAATTTTATATTATTTATTTTAAATTACAAATAAATTCAATTTATTCATTCTACACGAATAACTAATTAATTCATTTATTATTTGTGAATAAGATGTAATTTGATATTATTTTATTTAATAAATATTCAATGACTTTGCTTCGATACATAACTTATTTATTTGAACTCAATTGACATTATATGTATATGATTGATCAGTATCTTTTGTTAATAACTCATTATCAAAGCTAAAATCAAAATTTTTATGAAAAAAGTTGAAATGAAAATTTTTAAGAAAAAAAAACATTTGAAATTATCTCAAAAATCTTTAGTTAAAATATTTAAACAGTTCTTACATTTTTAGGACAAACTGTATAGTTCTTTATTTAAGCATTCGTATTTTTGTTCATTTAAGCAACTATTGATATCTCCATCAATATTTAAAATTTTACAATCGTCTTTGAGTATATTAAAATTTTGACATTGTGGTTTCTGCGAATAATTCTGCGAATATTGGTATCTCACTTACACTTATTTTTTCTCTTTCTTTCAGTTAAATTCATAAAAATCATTCGTATTCCAATTGCGGATAATTAAATAGACAATTATATAAATTAATTATTATTACATTAATATATTATTATAATTAATATAATTATATATATTGATTATATATGTATATATATGTATATATCTTCTATATTTTTTTATGGAATCTATTTAATGATATTTTAATTTTTTTGTTATTCTTATATATAGTTTCATTATAAATAAAATTATTATTTTGTTATATAATGTATTTTTCGATTTCAACATTTATTATAATGATAAATAAATTTCCAATTCACAAAAAGATGAAAAATAGAATTTTTATATATTTATTAATTTCTGCATCATATATTGTTTTTGATATATGTTTTGATATATGATTTATTTAAAACTGGTTTAACTTAACGTATTAATTGTAAATTCTGTTCTATCCGATTTTATGACTTAGAAATATGTTATTTAAAGATATCATTTTAAACAATTTTTTTATTTACATATACCTGCCAATCGGTTTTAGTTTTCAAATTGTTCAAAATATATTTTTTACAAATATATTTTCCATATATTTTCCATTCCCTGTTTTTATATAATCAGGCAATGCACGGCACGCATCTTAGGTTTGCTATATCAATCATCCTCTAATTCAAATGCATATTTACAATCTATCTCTTGATGAATCTCAATACAACCTCGGTTAAATTTTATTTTAAAGTACAATTGTTAATTTTTTTGTTTCTTCTAATAGATTTATTTTCAAATTTAAGAATCAAATTTAAGTTGTTTATTTTAAGCGTATTTGATAAGTTATTAGAATACCATTTGATTTGGTTATATTATCCAGAATTATATATCTGCATAAGGATAACGATCATAAACGCAATAAGTTTAATTTGGCAGCACAGATATAATTCAAATTTTTCACAAATGTTTTTCTAATTTGTTTGGATAGAGCAGGATATCTATAAAGACTGCATAATATACGAATCTACAAATTTTTTTGTCAAAATATCCATAATTTTTTAAAGAATCAATTTTAAAAAAAGATTGCAATTTTTCAACTTTGTAAGTGCCTTTTTCATATCAATTATTCTTGACACAAAATAATTATGTGTTCTTTCCCGAATAAAATGATATAAGAAGTTATTAGATTACAATCTAAATATGTTTAAATCAACTTTAAAAGAATGCTTAAAATATAGTTATTTTTGCTGATATTCTTAAATTTATTTCAAAAAATAAAAGTCTAAAAGAAAATCTAATCACATTATGCAATTTTTCTGATAAGGAAAGCATCAAAAAAAGTTAAAAAATAAATCATTTTTATTTTTAATAATATAAAAGCAAAGTTTGGGAAAACACACGACACTGATATTCAATAATAACAATTATTATCTGTTATTCAAAATCGAAATTGCGGCAAAATGGCCGTCATTAAATACAATTATTATTTTTATACATTTTACTGAATTATTTCATTTCTATATTGATAGAATATATAAAAATATAAAAATATAGCTTCATATTTTTACATATAAACAAATTTTATAATTTTTGGTATTTAACAGAAAGATGCTTTATGGTATGATTAGGTTTGGTTGATATGATTAGGTTTTTTCCTTTAGTTTTTAAAATAAATTGAAAAATATTAACAAAAATGAGCGTGTTTTCATTATTTAATTATTATTTAAACATATTTTGATGTTTATAATCTAATAACTATTTATATTGTATTATTGGAAGAATCCACATAATTATTTCATGTCAAGAGTATTAAATAACTATTATAATGAAAGTATAAAATGTTTCTAAAATTGAAAAATAACAATTTTTTTTAAAATTGATTTTCTAAAAAATCAGAAATTCTAAAAAAAAATGGTTTGCAGATTTATATTCAACCATTAAATTTATAAGAAATGTTTAAATTAAAGATTAGCATTATATTAAAAAAAAGTTATATGAAATTGTAAATTACACAGGTAAAAGCTTATTAAAATCCATGAAGAGAGAATTAACTGAAAGATTGAGCAAAAGTAATTAATTTTTTTATAACAAAATTTTCTAACAAATCATTTTAAAACGATTCAAAAATTGTGAAGTTAGTTTGAAAATGTTATTAATTTATTATTTTTCATATATTTTTTTTAATATTATTTGGGAAATAAATAATTGGAGCTGGTGTTGATACAAAAATTGAATGATTAATCATTTAAATTAATTTGAATATTGATTAATTAATTAATCTTGAACTTTGTTATTAAACAAAATTATAAATTAATTAAACAATACACGTAGAAACTTATAATATATAGTTGTACATCATTTTCTGATAAGTGAATTTCATAATTAGTTATGTATGAATTATTCTCAAAAAGAAAATCGAATATATGAATGATATGATTAATTACTAATAATTTTTTCAAACATTTAATTCTTTTCGATTTAATCAAGATTTTAATATATAGATTTTTTATAAAATTTTATTTTTCTGAGATTGATTATTACAACTCTTTTTTTCTCTGATAAATTAAGAAATAAAGAAAAATGAGAAATGAGAAATGCTTACATTTTTCGATCATTTATCATTCTGACTGTCAATTCTCTAATGAAATGGAACAGCTGCAAACTATTTTATCACATTATCTTGCAAAACTCCTGTTTACCGCCAGTTTCATAATCGCCTTAAAGTCAGTTTCAAGTCTTAAATGGAACTTCAACATAGAAGTCGAACTCCATGATAAAAGGATTGTCATTATGAAACCAGTTGCAATCTTGTTTAGAAGTCGAAGCCGGGCGCAAAGGGATCGCATGTAGTTAGTTAAATATTTAACATAGACCAAAGAAGTTTCTATAAACGATCGATGTTACATGCGTATATACATTGTATATTCAGAACAAATTCGATTTAACTAGTTTCGTTTGCGCTGGTTCAATTTATGATATGTTTATTTAAGTTTAGTTATTTTAAAAAATAATCGATAGAAATTGTAATTACAAACTCTTTAATTAGACAAACATTTACAATATATTGAAAATCATTTGTTATGTTTATTTTATATATTTATGTTTATTGATTAATGATTTAATATAATTGATTTGGTATATGTATAAGAGAGAATATAAATATATACAATAAAATAATTTTTAATAATTTTATTATAATGTAAATATACATTTAAATTATTTATTATTTTAAATTTTCAAAATATTTTTCTTGGAATTTTTTAAAATATTTTATATGAATAAATTGAATATTATAATAATAGATATTAAATAAAATAGAGGTACAAAAAATATACAAAAATATAATTTAATAATTTAAATTCAGTAAAAAAAAATTGCAAATTATATTAATATAATACATTATTATGTTCAGTCTTGAATGAATTAATTAATTTTTGAAGTAATTTTTGAATAATTTTGAAGAATAATTACAAATATTTGTCAATATTTTTCACTCATTGATTTCATTAACTATTATTATTATAGATTATTATAGATTATTATAATTTAAGAATTATATTCTAATGTTTATATATGTGGCCATTTCTTCTATATAAAATTCATCCCTTTGCACCAATAGAAAGCATCGAAGGAAATGATTCGATAAAAAATTGTTTAACAATCGACTAAGGAATGAATGATTGATATTAAGGATTATCTTACCGATCTCATATTATCCTGCGTATCGCCACGAGGGTTCGATCGTATCTACAACAAACGTTTTACGAATACTTTCAGACTTATAGCCATAATAAGATATCGTGTTACAAGATGTGAATTTGCAGCAAAGTATGGAATGAAAATTTGTGACAAATTTTGCATAATGTTAAAAATTAAAAAAAAGAAAATTAACAATGGAAACTAAATAGTAAAAAAAAATTATTTTATAAAATAAATTTTAAATAATAAGAATTTTTAAAATAATAAGAATTTAAACGTATACTTCCATCTATGAATTATTAAAATATTATATAAATTAAAAACATATTTAAACATATATGTAGACGAATGAAAATTATATATATATATATTATATATTATAGTATGATATTGACATTAAGTAACTATTTATATTATAAAGAATATCATATTTTAATAATTTTAATTTCAATTTACTAAGCAAAAATAACAATGTTAAGAAACATAAATAGAATAATTCATATATTGTTATATTGGATTACAAAAAATATATTAAGAGATTACAATAAATCTATTATAAATACATTAAATAAATTTATAAAATTTTTAAATTTATTATTTAATGTATAAAATCTGAAATTGTTTAATTATATTGTTTTATTGTTGTAAAAATAAACAGAATGAACAAAATAAATTACAATATCGATATGATTTCTTATTATTATTATACGCTATCGGAAATCTAAATCTATATTCTATAAATTTTTAATACTGAAAAAAATTTCCTAAAAGATTATTAATTTTTACTAAAATTTATATTTTAGTATGATTTATGATAAATTTTTGCGAATATTTATTATGAATTTCAATAAAAAAATGATTCCATTGTATTTTTGTAATTCGATGATTGCATGTATATTTATAACAATTATGTATTCATAATTTTTGTTTTCTTGAGCATAGAAATAATGAGAATAAAATATAGAGGTAAATTTTTTTCTACTTTTCATAACTAATATCGAAAATTTTCCTTTTATAATTAATATTTAAATTGCTGGAGTTTGAATTTGATTCTCAATTTCAAATCGCTTAAAATTAAATATTATTTTCATTGATGTTATAAATCTTTATGCAATAATTTAAACTGATTTTATTTTTATTCTCAGTAAATAATATTTTTTACTATGTAAAAATAATTTAAATGAGAAAATTTAAATTAGATTTAAAATAAATTTAAAAAAATTTTTTAAAAAATTCTTAATTTTACTTGTTTATTATAAACATGATAATGAATGTGAAAATACTAACAAATTTATAATATATGAAATTAAGGAACAAAATATTATAACTAATAACTAAAGTTAAAAGATATGTTTAAAAATAATGTTCTAAAAAGAAATAAAAATTGGATTGTTAAAATTATTACAATAAAATCTTAAAAATTAATTTTATAGAGATTATTAAAACTAGAAGATTAGACATAAGTTTTTTATTAAAAAATAATTCTTCTAATTTTTTTTAGAATAGAAATTGAGAGAGATTGTTATTGATTAACAATCAATTGATTCAAGGCTTCTTTTGATAATAAATAGATATAATTAGAATATAGAATGAAACACGATACATAGATAGATATAGTGATTCATATGGTTTTATGTTTTATATGGTTTAATGTTTTATATGATGAATATTTTTCAAATAATAAATTTATTTATTTTTTGAAACTCATTCTTTTTTGTTGAAATTAGATGTTATTTTCTAATGAATCTCTCTAATTGGATGAAAATCTATCTTTTCTGAAAATCTATTTTTCAAAGCTGAAGAAAATAAATAACTTAGGAAAAAGATATATGAATTTCTACTATCTAAAGGATTTTAATGACAAATTTAAAGGACTTTTATGCGTTTATGATTGTTACTGAGGTAATTTATGTCAATAATTAATCAAACTAAATTTAATTAAACTGAAATCGTTTTATATTTATTAAAATTCTGAAATCCATCTATATTATAAACTTAATCCTTCGACTTAGACCTTGTTTATCTACTACAAATTGCAATCATAAATGATTAAAAGTATTTTATTTTTTCATTTTATTCCAATAAATATTTTAAAAATAATAATTTTAAAAATTATATACTATATTATATTAAAGTAAAAATATCCAGAAAGAATCTCTTTCGTGAAAAAATGAAAATAGCAAAAAAAAAAGTCATACAATCGAATGATATATATAAATTTCCTATGAGGGTCAACGAGTTTCTTAGGAAGAATTCATACAAGAGAGTTCTTTCGTTACACACAAAATCCATTTACCATTGAAAATCATCCGGTCGAAATCTTGAATTGAAGCTATGAACTATGAATTGAAGCAGCTTTCCTAACTAGAAGATTGTGATTATCGATGGAGCGGAAACACTACACTATAATTTTGAATTGTCTGTTTGGTCTGGGGATCTCATTATCCAACGAATCCTTACAAGAAATTCGTGAATGTAATTTACGTCTTGTGCAAGAATTCTTGATAGGGCAACAGGAAGATTTCAACCGGAATTTCTCTCAAGACAATGCGTCACGTCGATGTTACGAATTGTAATGCATGACGCGGAAAGGCTGACTTGAATTTCGATTGAGATTTATGTATAATTTTGACTTTTTAATGTAATTTGAATTATAAAAATATCGATTATAAAATTTTTTAAAATAATATTGAATTTTTAAAATATATTAGAATCGGTCGAAGGGTTATGTATATGGAAATTAATTCCTTCTTTAAGGATTTATTGTAAGGTTAGATAATCATTTAATAATTTATAATGTAAAATGTTCATAAAATAACGAGTTTAATAAATTATTGTTGACAATTTTAATTATTCTAGGATTTTAAATATTTTAAATATGACCAAAAAGAAAAAAGAATTGAAATTAAAGAAATGATTTATCAAAAAAGAAGACTCATCATCATTTCTTTCAAAAAGAATTAATAAATTTGATAAACTTTAAAATTTAAATTTTAAAATTTAATAAAACTTCAATTATCGAATCTTAAAGAATAACGAAAATTTTAATTCAAGAATTTTAATTCAAGAATTCAAGAATCTATGTATAATAATATACTTTGTGAAAGTTGATAATAATAAAATTTATTATAAATAATTTAAAATTTCTGATTTTAAATATTATATGTATAAATGAAAATATAAATATCGAAAATAACAAACTAATTTTAAGTAATAATTGAATATTATTAATTATTATAATATTAATATTATAATATTATTTTGCACAATAATTACTATAAAATTTTACAAATTCAAAATTACAAGTTATTAATATTGATAGATACTATATAGATTTATACAAAATAATAATTCTTATAAGAAAATTTTCAAATTCATTGACTTAATCTTAATTTGATATAAAATTAAAAAAAAATATTAACTATAAATTTTACATGTAAAATAATTTACAAAATTTTAGAATTTGTAAATTTTGATATATTCAATCTTAAATAAAAATATTAATTAAGTAAGAATAATTAAATTTTCGTAAATCAAATTAAATAATATCTTGCGAGTAAAACTCTATTAAGAAAATCTTTCTTGCAACATTTAAGAATGCATAGACCATTAACTTCAACTGTTTAACTCCAAACACCAGAGGTTCTCGTGAAATTAAAATCTCGTAGAAGAGAAGCGTAAAAGAAAGAGAAATTATATTTCCTTTTTTATCTTAAACGTAATACATTCATCATAACTTGGCCTCGCCCTCATTTTTACACAGGCCAAACACTATGTGAACTGTGCAATTTTTTTCCACAGTATATCCGTTTTCATTCAAATTACTTAACCGCGTCATATCCTCTTTTATTAAAGTGAAATTATGCAGCATGAGGATTCTTATGTAAAACACCAACATCGTTATTTTATATGTAATTGTACTCTTAAAACGTTTTGATCGAAATTGGATAGGAAAATAATATCAATGTTATAAAATTGATGTAAATCGATTTTTTTGTAAGCATGTCATTACATATTGAATTTGACTTATATGATAGTGTACAAACTCTTTATATTTTTACTTGTAACTTATGAAGAATTTATAAGTTTTCACATTCATATCTTTCGTTGTGATGAATATAATCTTTAACCAAAAGAAACTTGTTATTATCAAACTTGTGAATATTATTATAAAAATTCAAGTTATTATTTATATTCTTCTTATTTTATATTTTTCTCATTTATATTCCTTTAATGATCTTGAAATATATTATTGATTCTGAACAACTTTTCTTGTATATATAATGTGATATATAAGCAATTGTAAATCTAAAAATTTATCAAAAATTTTTTGTAAATATTTTAAAAATTAAAGCTGATCGATAGTAATATATATAATAATATATATAATAAAAATTTTTGATAAATTTTAGATTTATAATTGCTAATATATCATATGCTATTTTTTATAATAAACATATTATTATTTATTTGGATATTTGATATTCTTTCCAAATAATATTTTGTTAATAATAATAATAATGTATATATTGAAAAAATGATAAAATCGTTAAAATACTATGAAATATAATTATGACGAAATTATTGAATAAATTTCTAAATATATATAATAATTACGTAAGTTGATATAATTTTTAATCAAACAAAAAATAATTCACTCCACGATAAATTATAAATTATAACAAATCAATGAAACATAACTTAATCTTTATTATTATCTAATAATTTATTATTTTAATTTTTTTCTTTTATTATTTAAGTTGGAATATAGGTATAGGCTTAAATAATAAACCGATGAAAATTAATTCTTAATCTAAGTTAACTTATAACCCATTAATTTTTTATTAAGTTAAATAAGAATATCATTAATATTAAACAATAATAAATCAAGAAAATCTAATCTAACTTATAATTCATTAATTTTTTTCTTATTTAGATTAGGCTATATAAAAATATAATCATTGTCAGATGATCTAGATTTTTTATATTAGAATTTATGTCATGATAAATATATTTATTAGTATTCAACAAAAATTTCTACAAATATT